GGGAGCCGGCATGGTTAGGAGCAGCAGAGGCAGTGGCAGAGGCACAGCAGAGCCCATGCTGCTCGGGGGCTACACCCTGGATGGGGCCGTAGGGAAACCGAGCTCCAGAGAACCAGAAACACTGCAGAGCACAGTGGAAAACAAGGGTGGGCCGGACCAGGCTGAAACAGCAGGAGCCGGGGCTCAGCAGGATGCTGCTGCCCACCTGGGTTTAATTAAAGGCCCCTCAAAGTTTTAGCCAAATGCACAAATCCAGCAGGTTTCAGTCCAAGGGCAGACAGCTGGAAACCTGTGTGTTAAAGTAAGTTAAGGCCCCAGAGACGAGAATATTAAATGCTGACTGAGGTGTGATCAAAAAGACAGCAAGTGTGGAAACAGCCCATGGCCTTTTGGGGGCCTTGGGACTGAGGAGCCCAGGCAGCCGGCAGCCTTCACCATATTTCTGATTACGCGTGCTTTAGAAAGCGGCACAGAGGATGAGGGAGCACTCGGGGTGCAGGGGGAGGACTAGGCGCACCTTCTTCGGAGCCATGGGCACCGCATCCTGCTCAGCTGGGTGGGCAGACTGCACCTCAGAGACAGGGCCAAGTGGAGGAGTGGAGCGGCTGGGTCTGGCCACCTACCCGGGGCTGCTGAGCCCTGGGGTGCCGCTCTGTGAACACTGGGTCCCTTCGATGAGGGGTGAAGGTGGCCTTGCCTGCGCCCCACCACCACCCCGCCCGCCAAACAGATAGGAGAAGCTGGAATTCTAAGTCGCGTCTCAGAGCCTAGCCCAACTCCAGGCTGGGACAGAAGAGCAAGCTCACAGGCCACACCCGCACTTGTCCCTCACCTCGGCCCCGCTCCATCCCGACCTGGACCCACGTGTGTTCCGGCTGTCTGTAACCTGTCTGTAACCGACCACACACAGCACCCAGCCAGTGCATGCAGCTTCCTTCTGGCTTCCACAGGACTGGGCTCTCTGCTCACGCCCCTGCCACCCGGAGACAGCAAGGGCGCAGTTCAGCTACCCCTCACCGCAGCCATCTGTTCCTCCAGGTGCTCGGTTTTCTTTTTTTTTTTTTGGTTTTTTAAAATAGTCTCACTATATAGTTAAGACTGACCTGTAGCCCAGGCTGGTCTCCAACTCACAGTGATCCTCCTGCCTCAGCCTCCCGAGTGCTGGGATTACAGGCGTGCACCCCCACGCCTGGCTGCTCGTTTTTAATATAAAGATTGTGAGCAGTGGGTGCTAAGAGTGAATCTGGGGCCAGTGTGGTGGCGCACACCTGTAATCCCAGCACTTGGGAGGTTGAGGCAGGACGATGTCTGCGAGTTTGAGATCAGCCTGGACTACATAGTGAGTTCCAGGTCAGTCTCAACTACATAGTGAGACCCTGTCTCCAAAAAACCAAAAAAAAAAA